GATAGATAGATAGATAGATAGATAGATAGATAGATAGATAGATAGATAGATAGATAGATAGATAGATAGATAGATAGATAGATAGATAGATAGATAGATAGATAGATAGATAGATAGATAGATAGATAAAGTTCACAATTAATCCACTCTGGAGCAAATGAGGAATATCTTTTAGGAAGCTCCTAACAGTGAGCCACTCAGTAGGGGAAGATCAGCAACCACTCACCAGGTGCAGAGTCACAACACACAGAAGTCTGTGTGGCCCTAGGCTCACTCCTCCAATGCACATGACACCATGGAAGAACAAGCAGAGGTGAAGAAGAAAAGAGAGAGGAAAGAAGAACTGCAGAAGAAGAGAAAAAAGAAAGAACTAAAATTAGAAAACCACCAGGAAAATTCGAGGAGTCAGAAGCTGAAGAAGCACAGGAAGGGACAGGGGCTGGACTGGAAGCTGGCGGGCAGAAGCTCGTGATGCCAGTGGCTCTGGAAAGAGGAGGACTGGGAAGAACGGGAGCAAGGGCGGCCTGCAGGGGAAGGGCAGGATGGAAGTGGGGCTCTGGAGGGGGTGCCGAGGAAGAGACAGAGATGGAGGGAGAGGGAGAAAGCCCTCCCTGTGGGGTATCATTACAGTGTGATTTCTTCCCCATTTCTTCCCCCTTTCAGGAATTTGGGCGTATGTGTAGATGGGCCTGGCATGTTTCTCCAGCCTCCAGGTCTGGGACTTGAACCGTACTGTGGGATCCAGCTCTCTTAACCATCAAGCCATGGGCTGTCCCTACAAATATGATTTCAGGATATGTAACACCTAGTCCTCAAGTAAGAGGACTTGAAGCTCCATCTGTCTCACGTGGCTCCCCCTAAATTTACCCGGTAATTGGAGTGACTGTCTAGTGAGTGATCTGGCTTTATCTGAGGAAAAACAAACTCTGCACATCTTTATGACAGAAGTGGTTTCACAAGTTGAAGCAAGATGCCCACTGAGTTAGGCACCTACCCTCCCACCGAAATGGGGAGAGAGGTGTCCCATCTCCCTTGATTTTTACATTTCAAATGAAGGCTCCCAGGTCCTTGGGAAAGACATTTGTAGGCCATAAGACTGGCAAAATGTCTAAGTAGTTTCCAAATGATATATACTTACATTTCAAAGAAAGGGGAAGTAGTTACCTTCTCAGGTTCCTAAGAAATACTCTATGGAAAGGGAGAGAGGGGAATCTCTTCTCTAATTTTCAAGAGGAAAAATTTATTTATTATTTATTGTTTTATTTTTGTTTTGCTATAGAGCATGTGTGCTTTTCAGACCAAAACAGGCAGAGAGAGAGAGAGAAAGAGAGTGAGAAAGTGTTTTATTTTTATTTTGCTATAGACCATGTGTGCTCTTCAGACCGAGACAGGCAGAGAGAGAGAGAGACAGAGAGAGTGAGAATTCACCTCCCAGCGTGGACGGCCACACTGCCATCCCTTCTCCTCCAGTCTTCTCTCAAGATTTTGGGCATATGCGCCTGGCGTATCACTAAAGCTGCTGGGTCTGGGATTAGAACCATGCGATTGACCATATGGAATCCAGCACCTTAACCACCACACCACCTGCTGGCCCCAGCTTCTTAATTTTTAAAAAGTTTATTTATTTCGGGACCAGCAGATGGCATAATGGTTACATAGCTGGATTCCCACATAGTGGCCCATGGTTTGAGTCCTGCACCTGGCAGCTTTAAACTCACACCAGGTGCGTGTGCTTGTGTGCTGAAAATGATGTCGCATGAGTCCTGTCCTCCAGCGCCAGCCCAAGCCTGTCCGCCCCATGGAAATGGCAGAGGGTGAAACCAAGGGGGCAGCACTTTCCCAGCCTCTGCTCTAGGCACTGAGCTGCTCCCTCATTGGCCACGTCAGATCACATGACCGAGCCCAGCAATAGACAGAGTAAGGCGCTGAGAAGTTTGGGGCAGAGGAAGGGCTAGATGGAAAGAAAGGCAGAGAGGGCATTTTAATAATTAATTTATCAAAGATTGAGCAAAATTATGGCTTCATTTACAGAATTTTGAATTAAAGTGGATGTGAAGACTCATGCAGAGGGATGATATAAGGGGAGGGGGTTCTGGAGACAGGGATGTCATCGATGCAATGTTGGAGATAATTTATAAAGATGGGTCTGGAACAGACGCTGGGAGGGTGTGGGGTGAGAGGAGCGGAGGTTCACAGACGGGACCGAGGACCAAATTCCTCCTCCTGTGTCTCTGGGCCTCGGTCTTTCCACCCCCTGGTTGGGGAGAAAAGCCCCACCCTCTGTGCCCCGAGGGTCCCTGTGGTCCCCCTGAGGTCCCTGTGTCCCTGTGCCCTGCCCTCCCCAGTGCCGCCTTCCCCACTCCACCCCTAGAGGGCGCGCTGACAGGCTCCCCTGGGCTGTCCACGTGGAGGCTCCACTGGGACCCCTGGGCCCACGTCAGGCTCCAGGTCCCCACTGCTTTTCTCCCGCAGGGGTGGGCTCTGCCCCTCAGGTGCACATCCGAGGACCCGAGGAGGACGGGGTCCGCGTGGTGTGCACGGCCTCAGGGTGGTTCCC